GAACTATGCTTGGCACTTAGCCAAATACCATGCCGTCAATCCAAAGTAGCACCGCCCCATGCTGTTCCGTGCGGCTTCCACTCTCCGAACATCCCAACCACGGTAATGTTAGTAATCAAGCAAACCTGGGAAAGCGACGCAGGGTACTTCGACCATCTACGGTAGTGAAAACTGTTAGTATCCGGGGAAAAAGATCAATCCGGGGTCAGAGTTGATGGCAGGTAATCGAGGTGAAATTAGGCCAATCTCCCAATAGCCATGGGTTCCCGTCCCTCTCATCATTTTTAATTATTCTTCTTTTTCCTTAATTCTATTGTCGAAAATAGTAAATTACCCGTAAATTTTCCAAAATTAAATTCCGAAAAAGTTTAAATAATTGGCCGAATTTTCTTTTGTTTCTTTTCTCTTTTTCCATTTTTAATCTTTTTTTATGTTTTTAATTTCATTGCCGAGAATTAGAATAACAAGGGTATTTCCCCTAGAATTAAATGTCGTGATAAATAAAGAAGTTAAGGGATATTATGTTTTTCTCTTCTTCCCTACTGGTCTTAATCCCTTTTTCCCATCTTTAATTATGGCACTAAAACAGTCAAAATTTGAGGCCTCATTTCGGCCCCGGTCGTATGCTGCAAAAGCGTTGCGGCGAGGTCTGTTCCCGCGATGCCTCTTCGCGGCAGGCCAATCCGGGTCCAGCCCTCTGAACGGCCGGAAATGACGGTCTCTAGATACGCCGAGTGCGTCCACCCATCTCGCTATCTTTGAGGGCTACTCGTAAGGTTCAGTTTGCCCAAAGTCAAGGGTGCCCAAAGTTCCCCTAATTTTTGCTGCCCGGTCGAACCAGAGTACAGTCAAAACACGGACTTGTCTTTGAGCCTAAGTCCCAAAGCCGCAGATTTCAGGCGGCGCACTGCTTGTGGCCGCCTGACAGTTAGCCCGGACCACTTCTCGACGCCCCCATCGAGCCCTATCTACTTACGTCAAACGAAGCGAACGAGCTTCAGGGTGATTGCCCGTAAAGAACACCCACGTCGGCGTTTAATCGTCTTAAGTTTTGGTCTGTTATGAGTCTTGGGGCTAAGAAGATGCTTCTCGACTTTCCTTTTCCTTCGGGTTCTTGGTCTTGGCACGCCCCTCTTTTTTTTCTGTCGTTGGCCAGAGAAAGGTGCCGACCCGCCAGTTTGTCTAATGCGAACTCTCCGTCTAGCCCTCTTGAGCACGAATAAATATTTCTTATCTCTTCCTAAAGCCAACCCTTTGACCTTTCTTTTCTCTATTCTTTTCCTCTTCTTAGAACTTTCCCCTGCCTCGAATCGTCTCGAGGGGGCTCCATCCTCCATTTTGGCTTTTCCTTTCCCTTTCGGGCTTGTCAGCGATAAAGTGGGTGCAGGTCTGGGTCTAAACAGTTTCAACCTAGCACCCGCCACTTGGTCCTTCCACTTGGATCCGTCTAATTCTGCTATCATATATGCACCCCAGTCGAGTGCCTCAACCACTCTATAAGGTCCCATCCATCTGTTGGCGAGTTTTTCGATCCAGGTCCTCTCAAGTGCTGCGTCGTAGAGAAGGACCATATCTCCTACGCTCACCCTCTCCTTCCTGATCCGCACGCTCTTATCCCATCTTTCTTTACCTTTGTCCCTTTCCACTGCCAGACGATCTACCATTGTTATAAGGTTGTCTTCCAAACCGTACGCTATCTGTCTTGTTCGGGCAGCTATGAGTTCCTCTCTGGACATCTCCTCCGCCCAGTCAATGGTTGTCCAACTGTCGACGTGAAACTCTATGGGGAGCGGACAATGCCGCCCAAAYCACAAGGTGTATGGTGGGTATCCAGTGCTAGCCCGGACCRTGACGTTGTCCGCCCATATYGCGTATCGAAAAYATCGTGGCCAATCACTGTCCTTACCTTTGCACCACTTGGATAGTGACGCTATCAGAGTCTGGTGTCCCCTCTCTACTGGGGAGTTCGACTGTGGGTGGTAGGCAGTGGCTATCGAAACTCTCGCTCCGACTCTCTTGAACACACTTTGAACCTCGTCGGCTAGAAGCTCCGCCCCTCTGTCCATCACTATCTTGCTGACACAACCATACCTAGATAAGTACTCTAGGACGAAGTTCTTTACTTCCCTCGCCGTCTTACTCCTGATAGGTCTACCGTCCACGAACCCAGTGAAGTCGTCTCGTATGTTCACAACGTAGTTCATATTGCCTACTCCTTTTGGCATCTTCACCAGATCGATGTGTACCTTCTCTCCTGGCCTGGTTGGATAGGATGGATGAAGTGGCTCTTTGTATTTCACAAGAGCTCACTTTTGGCACTCCTCGCAGGTCATACAGTATCTCTCGACGTCCTTATACTGTCCTTCCCACCAGTACAGCCTGCGTATCTTTTCTTAGGTCCCTTTTACTCCTTTATGTCCTCCGACTACCCCGTCGTGAAGCTCCGCTACTATCGTCTGTCTCTCCTCAGGACCACAGACTACTCGTAAGGGCATCCCCGACCCGACTGGCCTTCGGAAAAGGTGGCCCGCTCTAAGGCAGTACTGAGCTGCTTGTCTCCGGATATCTGAATCTTGACTCTCCTCTCCTGACAGGTGTAGCCCGATCGTTCGGTGTTTGCCCTCGTAAAGGTTAACCAGAAATCGTTCGGCGCGTCTCAGCTCTGCTAATGTCAGGGCTCCAGTTACTATCGGGCGCTCGGCCTCAAGAGGGATCCGTGAAAGCCCATCTGCCACAGCGTTTTTAGTGTCAGATACCCTCTCAACTGCGTAATCATATAGCAGAATCCGTATTAACCACCGCGCAATGGTCGGGTCCGTCAGGCTAAAGTCCTTCTGGAGGACAGAGGCGACCGTTGTGGGATCTACTCTTAAGATGAACCGCCGTCCATAGATATAATGTCTGAACGTGTCTAGACACTGCAGAACAGCTAACACTTCCTTCTTGAATTGACTGTAGTTACGCTCTGCCATATTAAGTGTCCTACCCTCAAATCTTAACGGTCTTTCCTTCCCTTAGTGTCCTTCTGAGACAGCAGTCCTCCGACTGAACAGGGTCCGGCATCCGTGGATACTATGAAGGGTCTCCCTGCCTCATCATCAAAGAATGGCACGCCCAGTACGTGTCCTCCCTCCTTAAATTCATCTTTAAGCTCTCGCATAGCGAGTTCCTGCGAGGAATCCCAGTAGAATTTCTCAGTCTTCCGAAGGAGTAGCCTCAATGGCTCAGCCTTCTCCGCATACCTCCGTATGAATATCCGCCAGTAACCAACCACTCCCAGAAACTGTCGAACCTCGGTTGGACTATGCAACGGTGACGGCCAGTTTAGGAGTTTGTCTAGCTTCGCCGGATCTGCTCGGCGCCCTCTCGAGTCACATATAAAGCCCAAGATCTTAATAGTCGAGACGGCCCATCGGCTCTTCGTTCCGCTGACGGTCAAATTTGCATCATCTAAGTGCTCGAGAACCGCGTAAATATCGGTCACGTGCTACTCGACGAATCTCCTAACTCCTGATACAACTTCTGTCTCGTCTTTCTGGACTTGTCCCTTAATAGGGAAGTCATCCAAAAAACTTCAACCTTGTCAGGAATGAAGTCCTTGAGGACGGCTACCATAGCTCTCTGGAATACGGCTACCCCATTAGTCCATCCCATAGGGACAACCATCATCTGTATCAGTCCCAATGTCGTGTGCATAGTCATGAGGTGCCTGTCCCTAGGATCAAGCGGTACCTCATCATAGCCTGAGAACAGATCACAGACCGAATAAATCGACCTGCCTGCGGCGCCTTCAGCCAATAAGTCGGCATGTGGCACGGAGCCTACATCTCGTATCGTCACCGCGTTGACCTTCTGAAGGTCGTGGATCCACCGGATCTTGCCATTCGGCTTTCGTAGGAAGAACCATCGATTAACATAAGCACTATCGGACGGCTCCGCAACATGGGAAGCCATCTTTTATTTCAGGAAAGCGATAACTTTTTCCTTCTCCTTCTGGGCGTATTTTCATCCTGCGTCATTCCATGGAACATGTGGATCGTGTAAATCCTTGTTGGCTTTGCGTATCGAGGGTCAACCCTACCGCGCTCCGCGTCGCTGAAGGCTATAGCCTTATTGCAAGTCTTTAGGATCTCTATCACACATTCCCGTTCACGAGGGGTCAGGTTCCCATCTCCGATGTCCATCCCTGCTATCCTCTCTTCCGTTAGGCGTTGCGGCTCCTCTTTCTTTCTCTCTTTGATTTCCTTTACGATCTCTTCTTCCGTTATCCCTTCCAGTGCAGATCGCTCGCGGCCCAACACCGCTGGCTTAACCTTTTGAGCTACTCGCTTGTGTCGCTTGGGTAGCCCCCCATAGGGGGTCATGCCCTTAAAAAAGACACAGATACCACGCCACCAAATTCCTCATCTGTCTCCTTTGGGTACGAGTTGCCATCCACTATCAGCCGACTCCCTAAATCTTTCACTTCTACGATCCGACCTTCTTCCTCTGTGAGCAGTGGTCCATACTTCTTCTCGCGAAATCGCACCGCGCGCCCGGAGATAGGTAATACCTTAATCTGATTACCGGGTCCCGCTCCCACAGCGAGAGCTGCTCTGTTCCTCGGGTCTCGAGGCTCCACCATCTCAATCATAACGCTCGTCCCATCTAGCTTCTTAATGGGCAATGTCTGGCTCCCGTCCGGACGCTCTATCGTCACCGCATGCACGTGGCTCAACCACGTTCGTCCCAAGAGCGGATCGGAACTGCAGTTCTTGACTGCAAAGACAGGCAGGGTCACTCGTACCCCTTGGATCTATATGGCTGCCTTGTGATAAACTCCCGTGATCTGTTGCTTTCTTCCATCTGCTATCTCTATCTCGCATAGGTATGACCTATTGAGACCCAGTGCAACTTGCACTGCTAGATCCTCGTCTATTATGACAGCCTCGCTGCCGTTATCGATCACCGCATCTAAAATCGCCCCGTCGTTTAAGATCGCCTCAACAGTTTCACTTCCAAGTATGTAAAACTTATCAGGAGGTACACCTTCCATCCCATCAAGAAGGACTGTTACCATATGATCTGCTCTAGTTGTCACCTCCGATACTGCTACAGTTGGAGTCTCCGTCTTAGGGGCCCCTGAGCCTCCTCTGATAGAGGTATGTGAGTCTTCCACGTGATCATCTGTAACTCATTGCGAGCCGGCTTCGATGCCGCCAGATACTCCAGAATAGAGCACTGCATGGGCTGCCGAAGGGCCCGTCTCAGTGGCTCGACCGTGTCTATCTCATCCAGCGAACTCTTCATCAAGATCTTTTTCACTCCCCGCTTTCGCGGCGAAAGAATAACCTCCTCTCCATCGATCCGCTGTCTGTCCTTCTCCGCCATCACGTAATCCGTGTCAGCCTTCTTCGATGTAGATCCTCTCGCCGACTTGGTAGCTGCCACCCTTATGGGTGTGGTCGCCATATCTCCTTCGAAGGTTATCTTGATGCTCTGGCTCCTAACCGGCTCCTTTCCCTTACTTGGCTTTACTCTCCTTGCTTCTACATTCTCCTTCATCGAGGGGAACATTGATACGTCTCCCAGATCATCTGCCTACTTGACGTACTTGCGGTCATCAAGCACGACAAGCCCCTCATCTATTGCCCGCTTGAGATCCGGGCAGTCTCTCTTGATATGATCATCTCCTCTACAGTAGACACAAGAGTTCCTGGGAGTGGATGGCCTGTCGTCTGCGCTCCTAGAGATCGAACCCCTGGCTTCTCTGGGTCAGGGGACTTCGGATACGGATCAGATGACACGCCATATCCTCCTCTCCCATTCCGGCCGCACGAATCATTGCGGCGGTCTCCTCCAGATCCTCCTTGCTTATATCGTCCTCGCGAATCATTCCGGCGGTCTCCCGAGTCATATCGCCCTCGTGACTCATCGCGCCGATCTCCTCGGTTGTACCACCCCCACGAATCGTCGCGTTGTTCTCTCGCGTCTCCCCCGCGGTCATACCGTCCGCGCGAGCCATCTCGTCGATCCCAGTCCCAATCTCCTCTCTCATATCTGCCACCCCTGTAGCCATCTCGATCCGACCTCTCATATCTGTCGTCCCTATATCCGTCTCGGTCCGATCTCTCATATCTGTTGTCCCTGTATCTGTCTCGTCGGCCCTGATCTGTCTCCCACCGGCCTCGGGAGTCGCCTCTACCCCGATCGGCCTCATAGTGAGGGCTACGCGAGTAATCATCCAGCCTCCTAGCTCGTCCATACGTCTCGCGAGCTCTCCGGTCTCGGTCTATCTCATCATCCCTACGTCGCCCTGGCTCATCGTCTCTCTCTCTCTCCCTCGCACAATAATCAGTCAGCGTCCGAGGATTTCTATCCTCGACACTCCTCCAGGAATCGGTGTTCCTACGGTCCCAACGAAGTGAATAGGGCCCTCCGGGTTTGTCCCGGTACGTCGTGGCTCATGTGGTGGTCACAATCTCTGTAACTTGTCTTGTCAATCCCTTTACCATGTCCCTTATCTCCTTCACTTCCTTAGCCACAACTTCATTCTTCTCCGACCAGGGATGGTCCTTGAAATCAGGACATCTATCTTTGGCATACTCCTTATAGAGAGAGAAATCACGCCTCCTCATTCCTCTCCATACCAAGTTTTTGTAGTCGTCGGCCTCTGCCTTTATCGCGAGCTTAAGAACTTCTGGGAAGTCAAGCTTGTCGCGCGGAAGATCTCTAAGTATACTTTTCTGTCTGTCTTTGGACAGGTGTCCAATGAAGATAGTACAGCGCTCGACCTCTGAGATCTTCCCCTTCTTCATCAGCACGTCAGAAATCTTCTGGAAACGTATCCCAAAGACCCGTACGCTCTCATCTTCATTCTGAGTCATCGTCTCAAGGTCCTTGATGGAGTACTTGTTATCCTCTAATTTATAAAGCTCAATGAGGTTCTTCTTGTACGTAGTCCATTTTCCATCCTTCGGTCGGGCTTCCTTAACTTCCTTGCCGGGACTTGGGTCCACGTTAAATAGGAAGTTCTCTATAATCTCCTCCTCCGACCACTGACTCCGGCTAGCATGAAGCTCCTACTTCTCCAGATATTTTGTGATGCCATAGCCTCTGAAAGTAGGAGGCTCCGAGGCCTTGTGCGTAATAATATACCAATCCTTGCTCTCGTAAGGGAGCGGATGCGACTCCCCTGTCTCGGGGTCGAAGACTCGCCTGGGCAGCGCTCTGCCTCTATCTTTGTCCCTCCAATAGGAATCCCTCGAACTCTCTCTCCAGTCGTCCCTGTGCCTATCCGCCATGGTTTCCCTTCGCTCATACTCGGGGGAGCGTCGTCTCGTCGCTTCTCGTCGTCCGCTCATGGTTCCTGTCTTCAAGGTCTCCTGCGGCTCTGTCGCGACCGGCTCGCCCATTACGTCGGGTTCTCCGTCATTGGTTTGGTCAGCCCATCTCAGCGGTGCTCCCTGCCTAATCCGTTCCTTCAGATCTCTCAGAGCTCGGTCGGACGACGTCCTGTACTCCTCCCCCGCTTCGCCCGTGGTCGGTTGTGGTCCGATCGTGTCTGGTTCCATAGGCCACCAGAAGATGTAGTTGGCTCTCACGCCGGGCGTTATAGCCCGGACCTATGACAGTTGTCGCAGCCCGGATCCGTGACAGAACTCGCAGTCCGGATCCGTGACAGAACTCGCAGTCCGGGCCAGTGACAGTTGCAGCAGCCCGAACCTGTTTCCTCGTCACGGTTCAAGCTCGTCTCCAATCCTAGCTCTCGACCGCCCTGATTACCGCCACCAGCGCTCCGTTCCCGTCGCGGACCTCGTGCTCCCCTTCTATCCCAAGAATCCCTGTGTCTAGGTAAACCTCTCCTTCGGGATCTGCCAACAAGGCCACGCCTCTCCTGATCTGCACCACGCCTGTGACAGGATCTCTACTCCTGCAGCAGATCGCAGTCCCAAGCCTGTCTAATGTCTCCCGACTAGCACCCCCCAAGAGCCCTCGAGCGTTTATCTTCGTCCTCCTTGCTAGATCATTTAGTCCGTCCTGAACTGGGTAGCCCGCAAGACGAAACTCTCCTCCTAGTGCCATCTAAAGTCGCCCCTCTGACCTTACTGACCTCCACTATCTTCTCAGGAGCTTCTAATTTCTATTCCTCCTCCTTTTACTCCCAAACAGCTATAAGGTCCTCTATCTAGCATCTGAGGGAAGTCAGTGTTATAGCCGCTCGTAATCTCATCACCGACAATTTCAGTATATCATAGAATGCCTCAAAATCTTCGTCATCTCCTTTCTCCTCTATGGCCTCCAAGGTCTTTATCGATTCCCTCCAGTATCGATTGTGAGCAGCTAGCACCCTTAGTATTGCTCCGTCTACTATAACTCTCCCTAGCTCCCCAGCTCTCCTGGCTTCACTTATCTTCAACCTCTCAGCCTCTCTGGTCGTCTCGTACCATGCCCTTATCCGTGACCGCCCTTCGAAAGGTGTTACTCGAAGTACGTATTTTATCCTTCGTCCTCCTTCCACTCCAATCCATAGTCCTGTTCCCCTAGCCTCACGCAACGCACGGCGAACGTACTCTGCCTCCTCAACTATGCACAATCCGGTATGGAGCTGGAACTCTACGATTACTAACACCAACGGTCCGTCCAGTCTCCCTACCACATGCAATGAGTACCTATCTGTCGTGTGTAAGCTAGTTTCACTCATGTCCTGTTGCTACCTCCCTGCGTCACCTTGTCCTCCGTCGTCACATCCTCTGCAGACTTCTCCCTAGCTCCTTCGCGCGATAGGTTCCTAGCCTTTACCCTTACCAGAAAGTCTGACCTCCACGCCTGGATAATCTCTCTATCCTCCCTGAACAAACTCTCTAACTCTTTCGTTGTGAGCTCAACCTTGTGCAGCTTGTCCTCTTCCTTGCACGGCCCGATCTCCCTAATCTTGTTCCCTAACTCCTTTACCTGGTTGAAGAGTGGCTCCTTAATACGCTCTCTCACTCTTCTGACCACCTCACTCTCCTCTTCCATACTCTGTCCTCATCTCTTCCCAACTTTTTCTCATACCCTCGCTCTAGCCTCCGCTACCGTCTCATCGTGGTAGTGCTCCGCGCGCATATAACCATAAGTCCATATCATCACATCGTAGGAAATCGAGGTCTGGAAAGTCACGTGCGTCAGTACATCAGCTCTATGCTCGCAGATCAAATCCCTGGCTCGTAGTCGGCACTCCCTCACCGTCAAGTCCTCATCTATGTATGCTCGGAGAAGTACCGTCACAGTGTACCCTGTGCTTACTAGTCGCTTATCTACGCACATCACGGTCGCCGTCCTTCCCGGCATTCCCTAAGTTGCGGCCTCGAAGAGAAACCTCTCATCCTCTAGCCCCACGTAATCAACCTCCGCCCGTCTCCTACAATACCTAATCAGATCGACTGGCCTCAGATAGTCCACCCAGGAAGTAACGTCTATAATGTCGTCAAGCGTCTCTCTGCTGGGAGGTCCCCACCTTACACAAATGGCGTAGTATACTTTCCTGAAACGGGGATCTAAACCCTCCCAATGCGCGTAGAGTGTGTGGTCCACTGCTATACTCAGATGATCTACACTCCCATAGGTCTAGCCTGTTACAAACGCAGGTATCCCAAACCGCCAACCCTCCCTCGGGTAGAGGGTCGGATGCGGAGGCCCGTATACCAAGCGACTCCAATACGTCCTCCCTCCAGAGAGTCTCGCTAGTTGCTGATTAACAATCACTCTGGCCAACAACTCGCTTCTCCACCAAGCCCTGCTTGCCCCTGCGAGTGTCAGTCCTACCTCTAAATCATGTGCTCTATCCGCTATCAGATGTACCACCCCTTCTAGGTCATGAGTCCTTTCGGGTCGTCCATCTTTCAGTATCACTGTCCAAAGGAAGAGTCCCTCTGCCCGCCACGTTCCCAGGTAACGTATCGGAACACAGCCTGTCCCCTCTAACGCCAGAAGAAGAGGAATGTCGTATCCAACAGCCGTCTCTCTGGGTCTCACAAGTTTCCTCACGCTATAGGATTCAGACTCTCGTGAGAGAACATAAGCTAGCCAGGCTACTGAGTCACTCCTCATTTCCCCGCCGGCTCTCGATCTGTATCACTCTACTCCCTCCGACGCCCCCTATCTCACGATGCGACTAACTCCTCAGACAACTCTTCCACTCAGATCCAGTATGGTCAAGTAGGTGTTGTGCACTCTCCCGTCAGCTCCACGGAAGTAGATAGTAAACTCGACGTACCTCTGGCCTCTCCGTATCTCCAGGGCATGCTCCGTCATGAGTCTGATCTGTCGTTCAACATTGCCCAATGGCTCATCTTCCCAGCCATCTGTCCTATCTTGTTGTTGGGAAAGAGTCACTCTCAGCGTATCCTTGTCTGTCATCCTTTCCTGCTCTTACCGCCACTTTCGTCTTGCCCAAAGATATCAACTTTCCGTCTCCCCTCTACTTCCTTCTCTAAGCGACATCCAGATATGCCCTGCGTCTAGTCATCTCACGCATCCGGCATATCCTCGTCTCCGTCACCATCTACCCTCTTGGCCCATGGGATGTCCTCCTGTCCCTCGGCCTGAAGGAGGTGACCCCAGTCGTCCTCCTGCGGCACCTCTCCACCTACCTGCTCCTCTCTATCGGCCCGAGCCAGATCTCCCCAGCCCTCGTCCTGGTCGCCCCAAGGGTCTATGTCATCGAAGTCCTCCCAATCCCGATCCTCAGCGTACCATGCAAGATCGTCAGCCTCTGGATATACTTGCTGGTAATACTCCTCAACCTCCCCGCTCGAGATGAGATGACCCGGCCTGTCCTCTCGAGTCTCAGCTAATAGCCGTCCTACTCCAGCTAAATGATTTGTAGGCCTCTTAGCCTCTCTCTCTAGCGCCGTCCAGAAGGCTAGGGGCTGGTACAGAGCGTATAGGTCAGGGCTCCCGGTAGGTACAATGGCCCGCAGGAACTCAATCAACTGGATCCCTCGCTCGCCCACGAATGGCCCTGCTACAAACTGCGCATATAGCACCCAGTCCCTATCAGTGTATCCCCGACAGAGACCGTCCAAATCAAGTGTCGCAAAGTAGATCTCACCCAGACGCCTAAGTCCCCAAAGCTCCTCCGCCACGAAGCACGGAAGTGTGACACGCAGTCGACTGCTAGGATATGGGAAGTGTCCTCCAATCCTGAAGGTCGTCGTCACTCTCCGAACTCCCCCGTGCAGCCGCTCTACCTCGCCGTGCGCGGAGTCCGCTCGAGCCAGTAAGATCCTCCT